TCAATTCCTGGCAAATAGATGGGGAAGAAATGGAGGTAGTGACAGATTTTATCTTCCTGGGCTCCAAGATCACCACAGATGGGGACTGCAGCCAAGAAATTAAAAGACGCTTGCTCCTGGGGAGGAAAGCTATGGCAAATCTAGACAGCATACTAAAAAGCAGAGACATCACCCTGCCAACAAAAGTACGTATAGTCAAAGCCATGGTTTTCCCAGTTGCAATGTATGGCTGTGAAAGTTGGACCATAAGTAAGGCTGAGCACAAAAGAATGGAGGCCTTTGAACTATGGTGCTGGAGAAGACTCCTGCGAGTCCCCTGGACTGCAAGGCGATCAAACCAGTCAGTCCTAGAGGAGATCAACCCTGACTGCTCTTTAGAAGGTCAGATCCTGAAGTTGAAATTCAAGCACTTTGGCCACCTAATGAGAAGGAAGGACTCACTGGAGAAGGGCCTAATGCTGGGAAAGATTGCGGGCAATAGGGGACAACAGAGAATGAGGTGGCTGGATGGAGTCACTGAAGCAGTAGGCGTGAGCTTAAATGGACTCCAGAAGATGGTAGAGGACAGGAAGGCCTGGAGGAACGTTGTCACGATGGGTCGAACACGACTTCGCAATTAACAGATGTTCACTACCTTGAGTTATTTGCAAAAATAATAAAAAGGCAAGATATAAATAAGTAAATAAAAACCTCATGCTCACACATCCAAACACAAGGGAAATAAAGAAGTGTAAGTAGAAAATATAGCACCCCAGTAAAATCCTTTGTTACCAAGGCTACAGAATGGCTAGTAAATAATTCAGATACCTACTTGTGAGCCTTGGAGAATCGTGTCACAAGACGGCCTTCCTCCACATTCAGGATATGAATAGACTTATCCTTGGACACTGTGAAAAGTTCTGGAATACAGAGAGGGAAACCCCACACCATTACATAAGACCAAATTCCAAAGGGTAGTTTTTTCTAACCAGGGACCTTTCAGAGTTTTATACTTCAATGTTTCATCCTGACTGAGGGTTGTGGGGTTTGCACATGTACAACATCTTCTATAAAAAAAATAGTATCTTTTTCTTAGCTATTCTGAAGTCATTAGCCTTTACTAATCTATAATTAGGAAAAAAGGCAGCTTGTGTCATTCTAGTTGGCCATTTCTTGATTCAAAAAGATTCTATATTATCAGCTATACAACCAAAAAACACCTGGCAGGTTCTGTTGCAACTACTGCAAAGTAGATGATAAGCTACATTTGCTACATTTCTCCTAGTTGGATTTTTCATGACTATGCAAGATATCCAAACAGGATATAACTATCAGCTTTCCACTGCAAGTATAGTATCCTGTCTTGGATCTGCAAAGCAATCCAAAGAGTACACTATTTCTGAAAGCATCCCACTTACTGCTCGCCCCAATAGGTTTATAAACAGCACTGTGTGCTTGTTTCCTACTGTGACAATTTTATATTTATTTTATAAATAAAATTCATTTTATATTTATATTTATTTTATATCTTTATGGATATGATAAAACTAAAATATTGGTGTTTACAGAAAGACCAAAGACAGAATGGGCACTGTTTAGAGCAAGTAAATTGTTTTAAGTACTTAGAATAATCTTTCATGATTCAGGGATCAAGCATGCCTATAGAAATTATGGGACACAAAATATATCTATATCCACATCTGCTGTCTAGGCGTTTTACCATTCTTGGACTGCCTCATTTGTTTCTGCTGCAGAAAAACTCCTTTCAGCAAAGAGTTGTGGCATCTGTTTCATAGAGAATGAAGAATTTATGCCAACTTCTCAAAAGACAGGTTGAATTTGTTCAACCCATCTTTCAGAAATATTGTTCATACGCCCTTGACAACTTTCTGGTGCAGTTCATCATATGGAAGCATTATTACTTAAAGATGAAATCAGCATATGGACTAACATTGTTGAATTTAATTTAAAACTTGCCATTTTTCTTGTGGTCTTAGCACCATCTGTATTCCAAAGAACATTATAAAAACCATAAAAGCAGCAAAACAAAGGCACTCACTTTGTCCATCTTGTGAAAAGGATATTTTCCGGCAGGATTTTAAATGATGACCTGAGGACCAAAGTTCTTTGTTTCCACCTTCCAAACAGGAATATGAGTATCTGTAATTATGATTTTAAAATGGAAAGAGAAGCATCAAGAGTCTGTTCAAATAATTCCTGTATCCAATAATGCCTACCTTTATCCAATACAAATATACCCAACCATTTTCTCTCTTGCTACTATTCATACACACATACCTTGTTTACACTGCATACATATCTCTCTCCTACATCTGCCATAAACACACATAGCTATCCCACTTTCAGTAACATCCATCTTTAAGACAGGGTTCCCTAACCCCCAGGCTGCAGCCCACTAGTGGCCCACGGCCCATTTGGAACCTTGCTGCATGAATAGTGGGCAAGTGCGCATGTGTGCATGCAGCTCCATTTGCACAAGTAGCGAGCACTCGTACTCATGTGCAAAGCTCCATTTGTCCGAGCAGCAGGTGCGTGTACCTGTTGCTCATGCAAATGGAGCTGCACACGTGCACCTACGACTCACATGGAACCATCCCGTCTCCCTCCACCCTTGCCAGGCCAAGCTGGAAAGGTTGAGGACTGCTGCTTTAAGAGACATACAGACACACAGATAATGGATCTCTCTACCCACACAATCCCTATTTATAACACATACACAAATAATCTTTTAATATAGACTGTCAGGGCCCACTTCAAAACCTCATCCCAAGAAAGCAGGACTCTTGGAACAGTTTCATTCCACAAGGAACTTTTATTAGGAGAAGCTGACAGCAGGCATAGAAGGCAGGCTCTGAGGGTTTCCTGCTCAAATCAATAGGTTAAAGGAGTCCCAAGTAAACCCCACCCCAATAGTTCATCCGGTCAGTTTGAATGGGCCAATCCCCAGGTGTTAAGTCCGCTGTGGGAAAGGAGCTGATAACGGTCAGTTCCCATGCTTGTGAAGATGTTGTTGGGTCTTCGCACCTTCCCTTCCACAGCGAGAGATAAGCTGAGGCACATTGCTTTCTCACCCCAAGATAACATCAAGAGAGAGACAGTTCAAAGAGCAAGTTGGTAGAAACAGTGGAAATGATACATTGTAGCAGAGCAGAGAAACATACCACAGAGCCTTCCCCCCTCCCNCTCTCTCTCTCTCTCTCTCTCTCTCTCTCTCTCTCTCTCTCTCTCTCTCTCTCTCTCTCTCTCTCACCATCTCTCTTTACTACAGACAGGGATATCCTCCCCATCTCTCACACATAAGCAGAAATACACAGAAATTCTTTCTAGCACATAACATATTGTGGATGGTCCTGATACAAACAGATCTCCCTCATTTCAACCATACCCAGCACTTCTACCTGCATCTTCTCTCTCTCTCAGCCACACTTGGATCAAAACTCTTTTAATTGCTTACAATCCCCTCTCACAACTCTGGCCTCTTCACAAAAATACACCCCCTCTCTAAGAAAGACATGAATCTGCTGTCCATCCACCCAAATACCCCAAAGCCCTTAGTCAAGTCATACAGATGCCTTTCTTGTGCTTTCTTCCCTCTGCAGGCAATTACCTTTGTCAGCTACAGATAGATGCACAGCCTCAGTCTCTTAATTGTACACAAAGCTTCTCTTCCTCTCTCTCACTTATGCACAGAACTCTATCAATCACAGACACTGTTTCTTAAGCAGGCCTAGGCTATAATGCCTGGTCTCATCCACACAGAGATTCCCACCCACACATACACAGCACTCTTTTACCCTCAACTACTATTTTTTAGCCACATACCATCTCTAGCTCATATCTGCTCTCCCAAAACTCTCCTTAATGTGTCTCTGGTTCCTCTTTTGATAAGAGGGCATGGTTCTCAACCACAAAGAGCCACTCTCCTGTAAGGAGCATATACTCTTTCAACATACAGATACTTTCTTTCTCTCTTAAATCACTCAGCAGAACACACACACACACACACACACACACACACACACACACACACACACCAAAAGAAGAACAGTCTCCCTTCTCCAAATGACCAACCTGTCCGCTTTCTTAACTACATGTATACAATTACCCCTTCTTGCTCAAATGATTATACAAACACACACACATCAACAACTGCATATTCTTTCTCCAACACCTTATTTGTCCTTTTGGTATAATTTCTGCTAGAGACTATAGCATCTTCTAAAGTCAGCCACCCATAACAGTAAATAGGATAGATTCTGTACTAGCTCCATGATGTCTGGAAGAAGCCATAAGATTTTGTAGGTCTCAAGTGAGGAAATGGTTTTAGCTTTACAAATATTTCCTGTTGCTACCCATTACAGAGATACTCTTAAACAGATACTTCTTCTCACATGTTCTTTTTCTATACATTTTTTATATATAAAAGGATGGATACCCTCTCTTAGACATATACAGATAGCCTCTTTCAATCTGTAACCATACATGCATAAATACTCTTTTTCTCTTAGCTGCATAAAATCTAGCAATGGAAACACACATTTCTTGTCTTTCTTAAACATTTACATAAATCCATTGCACTGAACTACTGATGCACTACAATCTACATATACCTGACCCAATAAGAAGGCTCCACCAGTAAATTTCTCTGAGACTTTGAACTCACACGTAGACATCACCATCAACATCTCCAATAGCTATGATGTCCTGGGATGGGTGGAAGTCAATGGTATTTGCTGCTGCCTCAAAGAAAATGTCTTCAGGAGTATCATGAAGTCTAGGCTCCAGTCCAGGTTCTTTCTCATCTGAATGTACCTGGATGGAGTAGACAATAAGATGTAGTAATCAAATTTTCATAGTAGCTTTATAGTCTCTTACTAATGTAATTAACTAGAATCAAAAGTTGGAATTAAGATTGTTGGGAGAAATATCAACAACCTAAGATATGCAGATGATACCACTCTAATGGCAGAAAGTGAAGAGGAACTAAAGAGCCTCTTGATGCGGGTGAAGAAGGAGAGTGCAAAAGTTGGCTTGAAACTCAACATTAAGAAAACCAAGATCATGGCAACCGGCCCTCTTAATTCCTGGCAAATAGATGGGGAAGAAATGGAGGTAGTGACAGATTTTATCTTCCTGGGCTCCAAGATCACCACAGATGGGGACTGCAGCCAAGAAATTAAAAGACGCTTGCTCCTGGGGAGGAAAGCTATGGCAAATCTAGACAGCATACTAAAAAGCAGAGACATCACCCTGCCAACAAAAGTACGTATAGTCAAAGCCATGGTTTTCCCAGTTGCAATGTATGGCTGTGAAAGCTGGACCATAAGAAAGGCTGAACGCAAAAGAATTGAGGCCTTTGAACTATGGTGCTGGAGAAGAGTCCTGCGAGTCCCCTGGACTGCAAGGCGATCAAACCGGTCAGTTCTAGAGGAGATCAACCCTGACTGCTCTTTAGAAGGCCAGATCCTGAAGTTGAAACTCAGGTACTTTGGCCACCTAATGAGAAGGAAGGACTCACTGGAAAAGAGCCTAATGCTGGGAAAGATTCAGGGCAATAGAAGAAATGGACGACAGAGAATGAGGTGACTGGATGAAGTCACTGAAGCAGTAGGCAGGAGCTTAAATGGACTCCAGAAGATGGTAAAGGACAGGAAGGCCTGGAGGAACGTTGTCCATGGGGTCGCGATGGGTCGGACATGACTTCACAACTAACAACAACAATATATTATATATTAATGTTTATTTATTCAATTAATATCCAGCTTTCTTTAGAAGTTAAATTGTTTTCCATTTTCTCCCACAAGAGGAATCCTGTCAATTCAAGTCCCACCTGATTGGATTGAATTAATTGAACTTTATTTGGCCAAGTGTGATTCAACACACAAGGAATTTGTGTCCGATACAGAAGCACTCAGTGTACATGCAAAACAATAGAATCATCATCATCATCAACATCCCAATAAAAGGGGGGAGAAATGAAGATAATAAGAAAGATAAATAATACTACAAGACTACATAGGTAAATATACATAGGCCTTAAACAGTACTGTAAGAATTAGGTATTTAGCAGAGTGATGGCAGAGGGAGGGAAACTATCCCTGTGTCTAATTGTTTTGGCCTGCACAGCACTGTCCCGAGGGGAGGAGTTGAAACGGTTTATGTCCAGGGTGTGAGGAGTCTGCAGATTATCTCCTGACCCGTGCAATATACAAGTCTTCTATGGAAGATAGGATGGTTGCAATCATTCTTTCTACAGTGTTAGCTAACCATTGGACTCTGTCCTGTTTGGTGCTGTACAAACCAGACAGCTATAGAAGTATAAATTTAAGTCCAATTTCTTAACTTCTAGACCAACTGGCTTTTGAATCTTTCCATCCTCTTCTTTTCAATATGTCATGAGCCACTATCACTGATTTAGCAACTTTTTATTAATGTACTCATATGGTTATTTTCCAGAACCATCACTACATTACATACAATATCATCCTATCCACCATAAACCCACACAGAGAGAATAGAGACGGCAATCAATATGTGAGAACAGTTCAGCTGATTTACCTGTATCTCATAATTTTTACTATCAAATGCTCCTAGAACTATGCAACGTTTGAGTTCTTTATACAAATAAAGGACATTCAATAAATTTATACATACATGCAAGCAGGCATGCATACATACCGGGAAGGAGGGATACAGCTAGAGCAGGGGTAGGCAATCTTGGCTCTTTTATGACTCGTGGACTTCAACTCCCAGAATTCCTGAGCCAGCCAAGCTGGCTCAGGAATTCTGGGAGTTGAAGTCCACGAGTCATAAAAGAGCCAAGATTGCCTACCCCTGAGGCCAGAGTAAGGAAGTCCGAAGAGGGAGCCAGTTTCTGTTTGCCTGGCTCAAGCTCTTCCGGTGCCAGCCTTTCTCTGTAACCGGCTTTGAGTGCCGGGCGCTCCCCATCTTCACTACCCCATAAAACTATACTTGGAACTGGGACTCGGGACAAAGGGGTAATCTACGTCCCATAAAAGACGGCAAAACAGCAAAATAACTAATCACTTTCAGTAACTCTATGCCAGCCCCGTGATAGCCTCTAACACTACATTGCTACCCCACCAAAGCTCCCGCACAGACCCCTCCTGGGTCGCCTAAGCCTACATTTCCAGATCGCTGCTTAATGACACAGGAAGCCGCGCAGACACCTTTCCCCGGCAAAGGGAAGTCAACATGAGGACAAGCGAGCGCCAAGGGTCGTGTGTACTCACAGTGTCAGGCGCAGCCATTTTCACTACAGCATTCTGCTTCGGGGCACAAGCGTGTTGGGAACTGCGGACGCCTGCGCAGCAAAAGGATAGGCGGAGCGAGCACTTTTCCTCTGGTAAGCCAAGGAGATTGAAAAGAGAAAGTGGCGTGCTGATTGTTGAACTGCAGGTTGGCTTTCTGTTGTAGTTATTTTGTATACCGAAGTAGCCATGCAGCATGCACTGTCGATATTGTTTTCTGGGCAGCAGGGATCCAACCGTCAGTAAAGTAAGAAACGACCAAAAGCTGAAAGGAGGATTTTTATTTAATCCTCTAATACCAACCTTATCAAGAATGTTGACTACTAAGGCTTTGATCTTTCCTTGCTCGGAGCAAAGGACTTTAAAAAACAAAAAGAAACTAATGTTCCTGGAGAAAGAAAATGGGAGCTTTTCCTCATATCTGTGGTTTGTAAAGCTCCTTCATTCTCACCCGACAAAGACTGAAATTCAAAGGCAAATATTTATTGCTGAGTCTCAACCAAATGCCACATTTAGAAAGATTCTAATTGATTTGTATAGCTCACATACAGATTGCATCTCTAAAGTCTAACACTTAAAAATCATGGGTTTCTCCCACAAGAGGAATCCTTTCAACCCAGCTCCAATATCATGACATGATACTGATTTGTCAACAAATTTTGACACCAAGGTACAAGTATGGACTTTCATATTATCAAATGCAAAAAAAATCAAAATAAAAAAAAATCCCTTGCTCCACCTCCCAGATAAATTACACATATTTGTACTGCCACTGAGTGCAGGCTATATACATGGGATTTTACAAGTTGTTTTAGCTAAAACAAAAGAATTCCTATTTGCTAATTTTCTTATCTTGACAATGTAAAAACTTTGATTATGGAAATGTAGGAAGTTTATAAAATGCAAAACCACAGACAATGCCTAACAAGAAGAATTTAAACTGTGGCGAGCAATTTATACTGCATGCCATACATCCTTCACTGGAAACAAAGTAGACTGAAGGAGATGGGAGTTTCAAAGTTCAGAAATGATTAGCCCATATGTCCATCTTGACATATGCACATATGTAGTCTTCTATGAAAGCATTACTGTATTGACAGTTTCCTCTTTCAGGCAATTTCTTAAAATTTCAAGCACTTTTTCTAAATAAAAGCCAGAGTTGGGGTTTTTTTTAACTGATCCATCATACCTTTTGTTAACTAGCCACTGTCAAATCAGATCCTATTAATTTTCTTTAGAAGTTTTTTGTGAAACAAAGGAAAACAGGAAGGAAACATCTGAATATAGCCCAGTTGTGTAGCAAAATGATTAATATGAAATGTTTAATATGAAAGTGAAGGTACTGTATAGGCCAGTGGTTCTCAACCTTTTTAATGCCGCGACCCCAACCGGTCGTAAGTCGAGGACTAAACCGGTCGTAAGTCGAGGACTAAACCGGTCGTAAGTCGAGGACTACCCAACCGGTCGTAAGTCGAGGACTTTCCCTGCCCGGGAGCGGCGCACATGCGTGGTTCCGCCCCCTGCGCCGGCCGAGGCGTAGCTGGCAAGCGGCAGAGACGGAGCAGGCCGACCACCAGCTGGCCCAGCCCAAGGGAGGTAAGGCACCTGCCGGAAAAGGGGAAAAAAATGGCAGACAGCCTTGCTTGGCGACCCCCGTGAAATGGTTGATCGACCCCAAATTGGGTCGCGACCCATAGGTTGAGAACCGCTGGTATAGGCTTTATTATAAAACAAAGAGGATAAAATGCCTGCCAGAGGTTTGAACTGGTATCAGATTGTTATGAATTAGTACAAAAGTAAGAATTTATAGACTGGAGAGAGCTAGTTTATATACTGTAGAATTGAACTGTGAAAATGAAAAAAAAACACGAGTTTGGTAAGAATTGTGTAACATACTGCAATTTCAGAACAGGAACTGGTAACAGCTAGTATTGCTGTGACTTTTACAAGGTTGGTAACTTAGTTAAAAAAAGGGTACTGTATATGAAAACCAAGTTTAAGTAAAGCCATGATGGGTGGCATCACAAACACTTATCTATAGGACTATCTGGTGACAACAATGGCATATGGAAGATGGCCATTTGGAATGTGAGAGGTGTATATGGAGTGTGTGAATTAATGAATGAAATGTAAGAAATAAAAGTAGATATTTGTGAAAGTAAGAAAAAAGAAATGGTTACTATGAACATTTATGAAAGTACATATATTTTTGTTCTGATGATCCACCCACATTAGTATATAAAAATATAAAATATATAATCAGGGATACATTTTTGATGACTAATGACAACATATCAGAACAATAAACATAAGACTTCCATACTTGCACCTAATTACGGCACAAATCTGAAAAGCTTGGGTTTGTATTGCGATGTTGTAGCACACACATTTAATCATTTTTGTCACTGTAGTTTATACTAGGCACCTATGACTCTTCTGCTGATAATAAAGAATCAGTGATTAGTTTTTGGCAAAATTGTGCAACATTCTGAATGAATGTGATATGGGTTATGAAATGAAGGAGCACAGTAATAGTGATTGGGCCTTTCTGAGAACCAAGAATGAATGAGAACAATGGAGTATCTGCTTAAAAGAAAAAAAATGTTATAAAAATTACAGCTATTATAATAGTCGGTTTTTTTAGAACTTTCTTGTCTTACAGTTTTATCCCTGAGCATACATTTTGCATTTTATAGATTCTCCCTAGAGAATCCAGCTGATCAACTCTAAAAACCATTATGAGTGCAGTAAGAAAAGTATTAGGCGATGCTTCTGATACCTTGACAGAAGGTTTGATTTTTGTCAAAATTCCCCTGCATTTCCATCATTCCAAGCTTCAAAGCATATTTGGGAGATGTTGGGACTGGTAATTTTTTAAAGTCATGGACAAGTAAGCAGTATCAATACTGATCAGATTATTGCCAGTTAAGATTTTAAAACTTTTCAGTTGTATTCACAATGTAAATTTGAGTTGTTTAAAATAGCAAATGAGTGATATATTCAATTTAAAGATGATTTCACAATTTTGTTCAAATATTTTAGCTGTATTAGTCATAAAGAATATTAAATGTATTTCTTAGAGTATTGAATTATATACCAACATGTATAATATATCAGTATATGATGAACTATGGATTTATCAAGCATGGGTTGTAGCAAAAAAGATCATTCTTTTACAATGGATTTTATAATAAATTTATTACCTTGAATCGATAGTTTTACAAAATGGCTCCTTATTGCATTGTAGATTAATCAATAAAACTGTATAATGCTGTATTTAAATGCTGAGTTTTTAAAACATTATGTTTTGCCCCTCGCTACATCTTTTGTATCTTTTCTTTCTAAACTTTATAGTGTATAATCATAAAAAAGAAGCTCCACTCACTAAGCCTGCCTGACTTGTCACTGCAGAGAAGATATAGTAATTGCTGCTGTCCATACCAGGAAACAGATAGTTTCTATTAATGAGAAATTAGAAAAATATTGCTTAGACTAATATTCAGAACACAACTAATTAATAGATTTGGAATCTTTATAAATTTCCCATCCATATCCCAAATAGATGGTACACAATTATGCCGTTGCTGTGTTTAAATCCCAAAGCTTGGTATCTGAGTCTTCTTTTTTTCAATCCCTTTGTTTGGTACCATATAATTAAAATTCTGCTTTGAAAACATAAAGCTGGCTAAATTACTATTTAGCAATGACCAAATTTGTAGATGGGTCATGAGGTAGAATGGATATACAGTTGATTCTTTCTATTTCTCCTCTAAATATTTAGCTAACCATTGCTTCTTTTCTTGCGATGCACAATGATAATTAGACTTTGACTAAATGCTTCAGTACTGTCCCATTATAGATGATATAACTGAGTCAGAAAAACTCATTTCATTCGCTTAACAAAATAATCTAGTAAAGATACATTCAGAACTGACTTAATCATATCCAAATGTTTATCAAATACATCAATAAAGTCCACTAGATTGTGGTCTAAAATTGTAACAGCATCTATGTCACATGCTTTAACTGTAGACATGAAAGAATAATGATTAAAAGATTGCCAAATTCTGTTTTAATTCATATATATTATGAACATATTACGAATCTAAACGATATAAATTGGGTGATAGTGTTATGAACTATTCCTATTAGCTTTAATGACTTAATTGTGGCAATTTTAATTCATTTAATATTTGTATTTTATTGTTATTTCTTTTAACTCTGGAAGCTTTACAGTATCCAAATATACAGTTAAAACAATTTAAAAATATGAAGCATGACATGGCAACCCAGACTATAAACGACAGTACTAATAAAATATTAAAGTGCTCCAGAGGAACAGAGCCAAGTCTTAAGGGCATTCTGAAATCCAAGAGGAAAGGGTGCTATCTGTGTCCGTGAGGATGCTGTTCCAGAGGGCAGTGTCAGTGGCAGAGAAGGCATACTGTACTTCCTTGGTCCCACAAGGTGACAATATTTAATTGAGGAAGCTTGGTGCACACCCACTCTGTACAAGACAGGCAGAAACTATCGAAATAGTAAGTAACAATGAAGACAAAGGATTTTTCCTAATAGGCAGAATATGCTATGTAAGTTCACATCAGGATGTATTTCAATAATAGCAAATACTACTAACAAGACCATTCATATTACTTTCTGTATAAAGAAAACCTCCCCCTCCCCCCCCCCAATCTTACCTGCCCCATATTGCCATGTATTCAAGGAATACAATAAGAATTCTGTAACATTAACATTTTAGCAGTTTTTATTGCAGTACAAATCCAAAGTGCAAGCCCTTGGGGAACATGAGCTGCAGAGAAGGAAAAAAGCATCTAAAAAGTTTCGTTGCAATCAGGAGCTGCCCTTCATATTCATATGTAAGCAGGAAGCAAGGTGGGCTTGTTCCAGTGACTAGTCCATCAGAATCAAATCTCCACTAGAGCTGAGCTTTTGAAATACAACTGAAGGAATCAAAGCCTCCTGGCAGCGTCAGTATTTTGGTCTCTTCACCTCAACCCTGAAATTATAGACAT